AAGAAAATTAAATAATCAACATCAATAAAAGCTACAACATGTGAAAATATTCACAGCACAATTTCCTGAGATGTTAGTAACATGAGTTTGAGCAGTAAACTGACTCATACTCACACATTCTCTCCTTTATTTGTCACCTGAGAGATGTGTGGCTGATCACACAGGTATCAGCATGAAAGGGTTGTCTGGTTGAGCAGCAAACTGTTGGAGATGGGAGATGTTCAAGAAACAAGGTTTGACTGTATATATATATTAATTATATCATATACTGATTAGCATATTTAAAGTTGCATATTATAATGTATATAATCAAATTATCATCAAGCATACAATTTAATACCAAGCCAAATTGAATTAATAGATTTTTAAAGAAACAAAGTGTTAGTCACAATCTCTAGAGAGTTTTTAAAAAATTTAGTATGCATAAAATGTAACTGTGACTTAATCAAACGGTATCTGCCTTTTGGGATGTCTTTTGGAAAGCCTTAGTAACTTTAAGAAAGGAAAAACTGTAGCAAGTCTACCTCGTGCATGTCATACTCCCTAACTTATGGCTAATTCTTCCTAATTTATTGAAACTTCATTTTACAGATCGAGTCTTACATTTCCTACTGTGGTGGGCTTCCAGCCCCCGAACATTCAGACAATCCTTTGAGGTACAAGTTCAGCTGGAGTCCCGTGGGGGTTTTGATGAACATAATGCAGTCCGCCACCTACCTGCTCAATGGAAAGGTGAGGATGCTCATGACAGCTCTGGATACAAACCGGCAGCAACTGCCTGAGGAAGTCCAGACTCTTTCTCCCTGACACCGAGGCCCTTTCCTGCTGGCTGTGCTGCTTGTGCTCCATCCCCTTCCCCTTTGACATGCCCCAGAGTGTATTTTCTGTTCCCCTTAGTCTCCTCACTGTTCCCAGCATGGCCTGTGCTCATTCTTTCCTCTTCTTGCAAGTTGTTTCTGCATTTGGAAAACTCACTTCTCGACTTCTCTGCATGTGCGAATGCTGGGCATCTCGTGATTTATTTCAGCATGGCACATGATTAGAGTCCCTGCTGTGTGCTGGCCAGGGGGCAAGACTCCCAAGGTTGCCCTAGCTGGTTTGGCTCAATGGATAGAGCGCCAGCCTGCGGACTGAAGGGGCCCGGTTCAATTCCGGCCAAGGGCACATGCCTGGGTTGCAGGCTCGATCCCTCGTAGGGGGCATGCAGGAGGCAGCCAATCAATGATTCTCTCTCATCATTGATGTTTCTATCTTTCTCTCCCTCTCCCTTCCTCTCTAAAATCAATAAAATATATTTTTTTAAAAAAGACTCCCAAGGTTGTCACAATGCATGAAGTGACCTCAGAGAACTTACAGCTGGAATGGGGGTGGCTCTTATAATAGAGGGTTTGGTCGATCAGAGAAAGACGAATTTCCCCCCAGCTGCTGTGTACCAGAATGTAAGTGCTCTCTGAGTTTGGTATTGAAACCATGGTTTAAAGAGAACATTAAGATCATGCAGCCTGATTTGAAAACGTATGTCTCACTAACTCCCAAGCAGTTTCTTCCCCCCTCATGGTGGGCAAGACAGACCCTGGGATGATAGCTGCCATCCAGGGAGAGCAGGTCTGAAGTATGCTGAAGTGCCACGGGGTTGAGTTGAACTTGATGAGAGGGGTTGGGGAGAAGAAAATTAGTGGAGAAGAGAAGACGTGCTTGGCGTTGAAGGGTAAGAAGCTGCCAGGCGGGTCGGATTGCTGCCACTCATTTCTTACAACAACCTTACCAGGTCCAGAAGGCAGAGAGCAAGCTTAAGAAGCTTAGCTAACAGCCACAGTTCCAGAGGTTGCAAATGGCACAGCCAATCGCAAGTCACATCGGGCTGCCTTCACAGGTTATTCTCTGACCAGAGACAGACCCAGATATGGGAAGAAATGTGGATGGACTAAGGCTCCTCTTTACATGTGGGGACCTTGCACCACCTCCCCTCCCCTTGTGCTGGCCCTGCAGGGAGTGATGACTTATGTGATCAGATGTGCACCCTAAAAAGATGCGTCTGGCAACAGTATTACAAATTCCCAGCATACCTGTGAACCTAAGTGTGTTTTGTATACAAACAAAAGATGAAAGTTAAATAATTTCTTTTTAAAAAATATTTTTATTTCAGAGTGGAAGGGAGAGAGAGAGAAAGAGAGAGAGAAACATCAATGATGAGAGAGAATCACACTGGGGGTCGAGCCTGTAACCCAGGCATGTGCCCTGACTGGGAATCAAACTGTGACTTCCTGGTTCGTAGGTTGACGTTCAAATACTGAGCCACGCCGGCTGGGCAACAAATGGATCTTTAACAGGTCAGTATGTGAAGCATCCATCTTTTAAAAAGCTAACAGGAGAGCTGGGCAATTGAGAGGTCCCCTGGAACTCTGTCTCCTGGTGCGTAATGTGAGCACCAGTGCTCCATGTAGTTCTCCGAGTCTGTGAATCGAAGGCTTGGGCAAGAAACTCATCCTGACATTGTCCCAACAACATGTATTTTTCCTGCCAGAGCCTGTCTCCCGATGCCCCGTCACCTCTGCAGTCCTGGAAAAGAGACTGGCCTAACCTGTGAGTGCAGGAAAACGTCTTGCTTCATTTGGGCAAAATGCTTCAGGAGGCCATATAAGTGATAGCAATGAGGGGGTCAGGAGAGTGCTACATAAAGAACAAGGGCTTTGCCTAGCTGGTGTGGCTCAGTGGATAGAGCATTGGCCTGTGGACTAACGGGTCCCAGGTTCAATTCCAGTCAAGGGCACATGTCCGGGTTGTGGGCTCTATCCCCAGTAGAGGGTGTGCAGGAGGCAGCCAATCAATGATTCTCATCATTGATGTTTTTATCTCTCTCTCTCTCCCTTTCTCTCTGAAATCAATAAACACATATTTAAAAAGAAAAAAGAACAAGGGCTTTGATGTCAGTTGGCCTGGCTTCACGCTCTGGCCCGGCTGGGGCACTAGAACAATCACTTCATCGCTCTGAGCTTTGGGCTCGTGGTTGGAAGATAAACATAACACCGGCCTGCAGGGTTCCTGCCTTAGGGTTCAATGGTGGGGAAAGCTGGGAGGAAAAGCAAGAGGAGATTTCAGGCAGCAGAAGTTGTATTTGTTGAATTTGAAGTTTTTCCCTTTCAGCCTGAGATCCTTTTGTAAAAAGTGCTTTTTGCATCGCTCTGCCTCCGTGGAGGACACCGAGAGCAAACACGATGCTTTTCTTTGCTAAAATGGATACTTTTTTCAAGGTCCTGCTCAAGCTTCCTCTTGCGGTGCCTCTATCCCTGACCACTACAGCCCTGACTCCCTATTCTTTTGTCTGCACTCCCACACGTTGTCTGTGTCTCAGAATCTTTCAGATGCTGTGTCATTCACTCAGCAGCTCAAGTGCACCCGCCTGTCTTGCAACCAGGAAGCCTCTCTTGTGCTCTTGTCCCTCCAATCCCTCTGTGACCGTGGAGTGGCCTTATGCTATTCACAGGATCACAAAGGGGGACCCAGGGGACCTCTGGCTTCTGCTTAAAGTTGAAGCCTCAAACTTTCCCAGCGACATAGACAGTGGCCCATGAATTAGGATGTGTCTCCTTATCCTATTTTTTTAAATTTAAATTCTTTATTAGTTAAGGAATTACAAATGTGTCCTCATCCCCTCCATTAAACCCCCCCTCTCCTCCCCCCACTCATGCTCTCATACCCCTGTTGTCCATGTCCATTGGTTTGGCTTATATGCATGCATACATGTCCTTTGGTTGATCTCTTCCCCTTGCCCCCTGGGGATTGATAGTCTGATCGCTGTTTCTAATCTTATTTTTAATGACACCTGATTCCCTTCTACATCTCTGGAGACGGTGGTTGTATCTTCCCTTAGTTCTGTGCCCTCTGTGGGGAGAGGGGCAGTTTCTGTGATGGTGGCACCTGGGAATGACATGCCGAGCTTCGCTATCCCCTCCGTCAGCCTCCTCTCCCAGCTACCCCCAGCGACACACTGCATCAGGGCCGTGCTTGCTCTGCACACACAGCTCTGAGGAAGGTTTTCTCATCCTCGAGTCGGCCTGCAAGTCAAGTTTACCTTGATGGCCGCACCCAGCCCGTCTTTTGTAGGAAATTCTGTTTCTGTAATGTTGTCAGAAAGTATTTGTGAAATAAAACAAATGTTTAAAAATAGCTGCTGTTGCTGCTTTGCCTGCAACCATGCTTAGTGCGGTTTCCAGGCAAGGATCTGGCACAATCCTGAATGCTGCACCTCATCAATTGTATCCGTCTTAAGACGTCCAGAAATAAGCACAATGAAGGGTGTAGACATGGAATAGGAAAAAGAACCCAAGTAAACCTGGGTTCAAATGTGCCCTTGGGTGACTCGGCCTCAGTTTTTGCCTCTGAAAAATGAGTTATTGCATGGGTTAAAGGTCATGTTTATGAGGCACCCAGTACAGTGGGTCCTAAGTGATTGTCTGTATATTTCCTGTGTTATATTTCTTGTTAGTTCAATAGATGAGCTTATTATCGATTCTCATTGGTTGGGAGATGTGTGTGTGTGTGTGTGTGTAAAAGAGTTGGACATAGAGCAACTGTGCTGGGAGTGGGTCTTGCATCTGAGTATTGTTGAGCCAGAAAAGAAAGTATATTCTCTGTCAAATAGATAAATCATTCTTTCTGTCTTTATTTAAGTCATTAATAAAATATTGAACAAGACAGCGCTTATTAATGAATCTTATAATATGTCACCAAAAGTAACAGTTCTCAGTTGATATCAAATGATAATGATTACCCAGTAATTTTTGGGTCAAGTTGCTTTAGTAGGTGCCAATTTCTAAAGGAATCATTATCATTCACCTTACATATCCATGTTTTCTTCACAAGGGTCTCATGGTAAACTTGTGAACTAGCTGATTTCTTTCTGATTACTAAGTTGCTGGAATTTAGTCGTCTTTATTGAATTTTTCTTAAAAATTTTTTTTCTAACCTTCAAGCAAGTAAACAAGATTTAGAATTGCTATAGGTTATAGAAATGAGATAGGTGTGAAGACCCGGAAGGTTAACACATACTTTCTTAACAAATTTTTCTATTAAAATTTAGAATCATGATAGAATAAATTTGTTATAAAGAAATAGCACAGAAATGATCTCCCTGAAAATGGTTTCTGTGCAATCCAGAAGAATTTTATTGGGAAATGAAATAAGCATTCTCACTTCTTTTAGGTTCTCAGTCCTGGAGTTTTATTTTTTAATTATTTTTAAAAACAGATTTTCATTGATTTCAGAGAGTAAGGGGGAGAGAGAGAGAGAGAGAGAGAGAGAGAGAGAGAGAGAGAGAGAAACATCAACGAT